CGAATTCCCCTTTTCTGTACAGAATCCAATAGTTTCAGGGTATGTTTGGGTGGTGCTACTCCAAATATGGGAACAGTATTCCAGGACAGGTCGGATCTGTGCCTTATAGATCATAAGCGGCTTACTGGAAGTAAAATAGCCCCTGGACCGAAACAAAAAACCAAGTGTTTGGAATGTACTTTTAGCAATTGATCTCACGTGATTTTCCCAAGGAAGGTTATTGCCGAGGTTATTTTGCTGATAGTAATACCAAGCATCGAAATTGATGTCTTCAAAGGTATGGTTACTCCTGACAAGCTTATGTTGGGCACAGTATGAGATCATTGGATCCCCATTCGAGAATTATTGCCAAGTCCATATTTATGTTGTCAACATTTCTCCCTATCGTTTGTTTCTGATTTGCCTGACTGGTATTGGAGCCCTGGAAGAGAAGGAGGTATGGAGGGTACTATCATCCGCGAAGCTGTGTCCTGGACATAAAGCTTCCAAAAAATCGTTGATATGGAGTAGAAATAGTGTTGGTGCTAGAATTGATCCTTGCGGAACACCAGAATTTATGGTAAGAGAGTCAGATGAAACTCCGTCGACCACTTTATGGAGATACCTGTTTGAGAGAAAACTAGCTAGCAGAGAGCATAGCTGGGGAGGCAAGCCATAAGATGGAAGCTTGGCGAGGAGTCCGTGGTGCCAGACTCGATCGAATGCCTTGGAGATTCAAGTGCCACGGCTAAGTAAACAGTAAACATTTGATATTTTTTCTATATACTTTTATTTCTCTCCTCCAAATTTTTTTCATTTTTCAATGCAAATTGTCACTGCCAAGCTACCGATTTTTTCTTCTAGGCTCTCTGATAGGAAAACGCAGTGACATTTTGGGGCGAATCATCTGATTTGTCCTCACTACACGTATATTGAAATGATATCCATTGTTTTATTTTGAAGAAATGAGGAGAGAAAATCCGAAAAAATCTGGAATAATAATCGAAATCTGCCTAGATTACCAACATAAATTGAAGAAATTTCGAGTGGTAGGTACTTTTTTTCATTCCCATCATGAATTTCAAGAAATTAATGCAAACATTCAGGAAACTTGAGTACCAATTGAGAATTCTTATTAATCACTGTTCATATCATCATAATTTTATGCAATATATCGAATACTGGAATCTTTGGCACGATAATACACTACACTGGTTTACCAACTAACAAAACCAAATTTTAAAACGCCTCGACACGCGTGTTTCGCTAACTATGTTAGCATCTTCAGGAGAAGAATAAAACTTTAATCTATGTTAGCATCTTATTCAGGAGAAGATTAAAACTTCAATCTTCTGCTGCAGGTGCTAACATAGATTGAAGTTTCAATCTTCTCCTGAAGATGTTAGAATAGTTAGCGAAACACGTGTCGAGGCGTTTAAAAATTCGGTTTGGTTAGTGGTAAAACAATGTGGTGTATTTAATGCAATGTTTTGTATAGGTTTTTAGGAAATTTTCAACCTATCTTGTCTCTATACTCCCCAACATAAACAATATTTCATCCTCGGAACTACCGGAAGAACAGCTATAGGACTTCTGAAAGTTTTGAATCTGGAGCCAAGGACTTCAATAACACTTTTAATACATCTTTTCCCATTTTACATTAGCTTTCGCAAATTCTAAGCTCCTAATTGAAAACAATCTGAATCCTCATCAAATCACGAAAATATAAATGAATAAAGAAAAAAACAGTTGGGATTTGTGATTGTCATGTCAAATGACAACTGCAAAAATTCGATGCATCATCAGAGATAGTTCCATCAATGATGAAAATGTGGTGTGAAAAGGAACATGCTTCTATTCTGAAAACATCGAAACCGGACCACCCCGTATAATCATCTCAGGTATCGCGACATGCATTCAGAACCAGAAAACATACAACACATGATTGTGACCGATTGCGAACGAGAGGAATGCGGCTTTGCATCTCTTTTCTCTTTTTCTCTCATTATTCTCGTGATCAGCTTATCTTTATCGCGTTTTCTCCTCTGTTCAAGTAGTAGGCACAGGGTTGCCAGTCCTACTGAATTTTCAGTAAAACTACTGATTTGCATATTGATATACTGATCTACTGAAACATTTCATAATCTACTGGAACATATTTTGACATTTCCTGTTCTGGAGTCTTCCATCTTGAAATGTGGAGTGTCTATGTAAGAATTCAAGTTTTTCAGATTCAAAATGAATCTATATTAACCATTCTGTTTCTTTGTACAAAGTAAGAAGTGAGTAAGTATATAAGAAGTACTGATTTTAATCAGGTGAACATTTCAAGATGGACCCTATTGCAAGCAGCTCCGATATTGAGTTCGTGTATATATATCAATTTGTGACTTTGAAATATGAACTATAGGTTCATTACGCTGGGATGAAGGGAATTGTATGAAAGACAATTTTTACCCCCTTGACCCAACGTAAAACCCTCTTGTCTCTGGTAAACCTCAACCAACTTTTATGAAACATATAGAGGGTACCTGGTTTATCGACTGTTGTGATAATAGAGAGTTGAAGTGTTGTCATGAACGTTAACGTAAACGTAGAAATTGACAGATACGCATGCGCATTTTCCATTTCTTCACGTTTGCGTTGTTAGTGGGCTTACGGTGTACGTTATCTCACGTTCCTTCACGTATACCTTAAATATCAACGTACGTTAACCAAACTATACTCGAAATATGCCGATGAGTCGAAATTATCAAATTCGAGATCACCAACGAGTTCTGCATCAAGGAGTCCTCTAATTTTGACAGGAATAAATGTTCGAATCTAAAGACACAACCAAAAATGACCAATACAAACCGAAAACAAAATGTATTATTACGTTATGATGACAGTGACGACCAAAGTGGCGACTTCAACTCAATTTAACGACAATACGTAAACGTTATTTTTCGTACGTTAACGTCGACGTGGAGGTCTACGTACAGTGATTACTTCAACTCTCTATGGTAGTGGGGTTTCGTCTGATGATTTCTCCCTCCGAAGTCTACTTCCTCTCTCCTCTTCTCTTTTTTCTTCAACTTGTTGTTGACGCGTCTGTAGTTTAAAGAAGCCGTTGGTTGGTTTCTTGGATGAGTAGTGGTTGTATCATTCCTTCTTTTGATTCCAACAGTGGCTTTTTTCATCGCTTGTTTATTCTTGAAACATTCATTAAAATCTTTTCCAAATAGATATTCGTCGACCTTGGAGGACTCGATAACCTTTTTGCATTGAGAATTGATGAAAGGCACTATGTGGTAACGTCTGTGCATTGACGAAGGTGTTATGAGCGTTTGCTAAGATTTGAGAAGCATCTGCTAACTTAGTCAATGTATCAGATGAGTCATCAGGGGACTTGGGCAACATCTGAAAGCATGTCCTATTTGTTGTTGTATGGTTTTCATAACCCTATCATGAGAGACTGCCGCGTCAGGGAGGCACGCTCTAATTTCACCGTTCACCTCTGGGGGGTTACAGTTTTTTGAATTGGATATCTAGACATGATTTCTCTCTTTATATCTTTGGATAGGCCTTGTTGGAGGTACGCTGTCCATCTTAGAATTATTTCATTATGTAACTCTTCGCCCTCGGAGTTTTCTGCGGGTGGTTTAACTCCCATCAGTGTATCGAAAGATGAGTTAGGTAGTGCAATCTCATTAATTACGGGCTCATTGACTTAAACAACTTCGGGATTTGGATTTTGTTCAACAAGGGCCATGTTTTGTATTTCGGGAGCGTCAATTTGCTCTACTTCCTCATTTCCTCATCAGAAACATCAGAAGAATCTTTGAATTCGAACTGGATCAGTTCCATTTCCCTTACGGTAACGCCTGTTACCCTTACTCATCAAGTGATCGCTTGATACTATATCAGAGTCATATCTGACATGAGTTTCTTGTTGGGCAGTGTTGTATAAACTGACTGAATTCATTGTGATAACGCACGTTATCTATTCTCTTAAGGTGATCGCACGATACCATCAGAGTTGAATTCAAGTGATGTGCTAAAAATGAATTTTTTCATTATTTTCAACTTACCGGAATTTCTCGATTGCTCCGAGCTATCAGAAGATGATTTTTCTTTTAATATCTTCTTCCTAAGTTTGTCCAATTCCCTTCTCAATTTCTTGAAACGCTTCTCTGCTTGTTTGTCCTTGTCTAATTTTCCTTTCGGCATTTAAAATAAATCTTGTCACCGTCAGGTACGAACACAGAATGATCAATCCTTATCAGCGGTATTCAGTGGTGAGGTATCTCGAGGTTTTTATATCGATTTTTTGTGCTTTACTATAAAAACGAACCGTCTCGTATGAGATTCGGAAACTACAGTGTGGGTAATTATGTTAGAAGACAAGCGAAGGAAAATAGGTAATGAATTAACGAAGGTACTAATGATATGAGAAAACTAAAAATGGGCAAAACTTGATCTGATCCAGATTAAATTAAATTTTTTATTTCTGACAGTGACATTATAAGCTTATATCGTCATAGTTACGATATCTATCATGAGGGTCATAACTCCCTTGGGATGTTATAGATGCTATAATTCCCTCTAGCTAAAATTAAATAAGAAATGCACAGCAACAACCACGCAATAACGTAGCAATAAGGAATCTCCTATTCGCGGTAGTCAAGATCATCATCTGACGTTCTGATAACATTGAAACTATACGGAAAAACATGTCTAACTTCCAATCGGGAAGGTATCTAATGAATGAAATCAGTCAGAAATAAAATTATCTATGTATCACGGGAATTATAAGGCCCTCATAATTCCCTTAATACATAAATAACTATTATACACCTTGCTGCTATAACAGTTTGTTGTTTCTTACGTTTGATTTGTTTTGCATTTTAGTTGTTGTTCATCTTTACTATTTGTTCCTGTTTTTTTATGAATTGAATCTAGAATTTGTATGATTGTATGGCATTAAACAGATCTTCTGAAATCTATTGAATTTTCGACAAGGTATTTATACTGATGTAATGAAAATCAACCTGGCAACCCTGGTTAGGTGTCAACGTTATATTATTATTGTTTACAAAACAAATGAACAAATAATTATTGTGAAGTGAATTATATTCGAATTTCGTTGTGTTGTCGAGGTGAATTCATGTTGAAACTATAGTGATGGACCCAGATGAAGAAAATGTCTCGTTGGAACAACTGTAAGTTATTGTTTTCTTTGAAAACGTTGCCAATTTTGCCATACTCCGCGGATTCTGACGTTGAGGATTGAGGTTATGTTTTCCTAAATGTTCGCAATTTAGGAGTTTTATACTAAACCTTTTCTCTCATAATCGTTCAATTCAATAGGTATATTAATATTAGTATTGTTGTGAATGTTATATTTATTGCCTTGACCGAAATTGCCAAAATGACAATCTGCTAACCTGTTAAGTTAAACTGGGTGATAAAATAGTTGTATTAGGATAAATAGGTGAAAATTAATTTGTTAATTTGGTATACCTCGAGGTATACCTAATCAAGCTAATCTAATCAAAGAGGCTGAAATAGAGGTGATAACAGTTGTTTAGTATGATTACAGTTTGGATTAACGCTCAGCTGCGGAGCCTTAAATATGCCTGAAAATTCCTGATATCTGAAATAAAATGGTAAATGTAAGTACCTTGCAAAAACTTGGACAAAAAAGTTTTCCAGGGGCGTATCAAGAATTATTTCTTTGGTAATTTTGCACTTATCATGCGATGGGTTTTTTTTTTCGAAAATTTTTTTGGTACTTACGTATTTTTGTCTGAAAAACACGAATTTGATAATGAAAATGTGAACAAACCACTATTTATCGAGAGATTTCAAGAAAAAGTTCGAAATTTTGCCTTCTTTTCCCCTTGTGTTGGATGCATTTACAGGTACTTGCTCTTATTATTTTGTCATTGGACACTTTATATACTCATGATGTACTTCACTGACACATTTTAAGATAGAAAATTCAACAGGAAATATGATTTTTATGACGAGTTTTTTCTATTTAGTGAGCAAGCATACCAGATGACGGCCATTTAATCCATATGCAATCCAAATACGAGATGTCAAATGTCAATAGATTGCTTTGGAATGACATTACACACGCCATTATTTCAAATGATATTCTTCCTTCTTTTCACTAAACATGGATAAATCCGGATAAATCACAAGAAAATCATATTTCTAGTTGACTCATATAATAAAAAAAATGTGTCCAACATTGTGTGATATATATAAATTGTCCAATGATGGAAAAAAAAGGGCAAATTGTTCTAAATGCATGTGATCCAGAAGACAGGCGGAAAAGATGATGAACTTTGTAACTTTATAGTGAAATATCTTGATGAATAATGGTTTGTTCACATTTTCATTAGCAAATTCGTGTTTTTCAAACAAAATTACGTAAGTACCAAAAAAAATTTTCGAAAAAAAACCCATCGCATGATAAGTGCAAAATTACCATTTCTTTCGCAACCGATTCAAATATGTTGTTAATAAGTTTGTTGATAGGCAACACTTTTAGTAGGTAGGTATCTGGGTGAGGGTTAAACCGCGGTCAAAGTTGTATACACCCTTGCTCGCACCCTTGTATACACCATACTTCAATTTCACAAGGACTTCCACTTGTTCGTTGGCCAGAACTATGTCCTACTTCACCCAAGGAATTTCAAGGAATTCCAAGGAAATCTCAAGATATTTTTAGTAAATCCAAGGAATTCCAAAGAAATCCAAGGGGATCCAAGGAACTCCAACCGGTTTATCCCTCGTATCTAGGTAATAGAACATTTTACGCTTAGCGCTCTTGACATATTGGGATATCATACTCAAGATATCATTATTTGTTTTTTTCCAACACTAGCTATAAGACCTATACCATTATTCACTCCGTTTCGAGGCGTAAAATTTGTACTCCTCCTATATACAAGGTGTTTCAGATTCAAATGTACAAATGATACCTGTAGATAGGGGACACTTCGGTGGTTCCAATTCACCCCCCATCGATATATCTACCGTCTTTTATAACTGAGATACAGGACGTTATCTTTATCTTGGCAAAATCTTCATCTGGTTATAACTTTTGAACCACTTTGTATAATTTATCCATACTTGGTAGAAATATTCCACTTATATTACCCATCAAAACCATATAAAAATCCGGATCAGAATCCAGGTCCGTCTTGAGGAAACACAGAAAACTTCTTTTATCTCAAAAACAACACCTTGTATGGCAAAATTTTGTAGGTCAGTTTTGATATTTGGAAAGAGCGGGAAAAAATGAAATAAGTGACCTACTTTTCACGAGTGCGCATCTGATTTGACAGATGGTTTATTATCAAGTTTTGAAATATTCAGCTCCATTTCGAGGCATTTTTATTGAACTTATAATTCAAAATTCAATTTTAATACAAAAAAATAACAGTCTTCGAAGTTCAACATCATCAGAGTCAAATCAAGGTTTAGTAGGCTGTGCAAAATAATCTGATATTCTGACAGGTCATAATCACTAGTGTGATGTTATTGGTAATGTTGAGATAATTATTTCTGGTGCTTGTATTGGGTTGTTACATTTCAAAGTGTTCATAATTATGCCTACAATAACTTTACCAATAATATCGCCGCAACTATAGTGATTATGAACTGTCAGAATTTTAATTTTTTCTTCACAGCCTACTTTACCGCAGCTTATGAATAAAAAATAGTAAAGTATAAAATGAGTTCTCGAATGTTTTGAAATCATCGACAAATTATTCTGTCAAACAAACAAATTTATCGATAGTTCACCTAATTTGACTCTAATGACGTTGAACTTTGGAGACTGTTATTTTTTTGTATAAAAATTGGGTTTTGAATTATGAGTTCAATAAAAATGCCTCGAAATGGAGCTGAATATTTCAAAACATGATAATAAACCATCTTTCAAATTGGATGCGCACTCGTAAAAAGTAGGTCACTTCATTCATTTTTTTCCGCTCTTTCCAAATATCAAAACCGATCAATAAAATTTTGCCATACAGAGTGTTGATTTTGAGATAAAAGAAGTTTTCTGTTTTTCCTCAAGACGGACCTGGATTCTGATCCAGATTTTCATTTGGTTTTGATGGGTAATATAAGTGAAATATTTCTACCAAGTATGGATAGATTATACAAAGTGGTTCAGAAGTTATAACCAGATGAAGATTTTGCCAATATCAAGATAACGTCCTGTATCTCAGTTATCAAAGACGGTAGACATATCGATGGAGGGTGTTTTGGAACCACCGAAGTGTCCTCTATCTACAGGTATCGTATGTACATTTAAGTCTGAAACACCCTGTATAAAGGATAAAAATTAACACCTAAAGTTTCCAACTTCCAATTTCATTCAATTAATCGTCGAAAAAATGCATCATTTTGAATGAATATTCATAACACGATTATCAAAGCTCTGATTTTGAAAACTCCGAAAACGTTTCGAGAGAAAGCACCAATCAAGAGAATACAGGTGATGACAAAAATAAAAAAAATGATCTGTTCAAACGGTAAGGTGACGACCACGATGCACTTTCACACCCATTCAATTATCACCCTGTAGCAATCTCATCTGAAATTACAGAAGTTTCATATTGCCACAACAAACTGTCAAGAGATAAGGCTAATCATCAGTGAAAACCGATTTCAAATTGGTAAGGAAATTCGTGAGTTATTCTACTTTGAATTCAGGCACATTAGCAACAACATCGCAGGAGAAAGCGAATATTTTTGCAAAAATTTTCGCAGCAAACTCTACTTTAGATTCCCAAGGAAAAGTGCCGCCAGACATTCCACCCGTTAAGAGTCGAATGCCCGAAATCGTCTTCCGTCAACGCACTATCAGACGAATTTTGCTTGGTCTCAAAACGAATAAGGCTAACGGTCCTGATGAAATTCCACCCATTATCCTCAAAAAATGTGCACCAGAATTAACACCGATTCTCTGCAAGTTGTTCACTGTCTCGTACAGGTCGGGTATTTTTCCATCATGCTGGAAGACAGCTAGAGTCCAACCAATCCCCAAAAAAGGGAACAAGAACCTGCCCAACAACTACAGGCCCATTGCCCTGTTATCAGTAATCTCCAAAGTGATGGAGAAAGCCATCAATATTGAGCTTATCAAATATCTGGAGAGCTCAGGAATCATCAATGATAGACAATACGGCTTTCGCCACCGAAGATCTACTGGAGATCTACTTGCCTTCGTCACCCATTTATGGCAATCTTCAATAGAAAAACACGGGGAATCTCTAGCTGTCGCGTTGGACATATCGAAAGCATTTGACCGTGTTTGGCACGAACGACACCTCCACAAACTACCATCATACGGCTTACCACCTCAGCTATGCCATCTCTTATCGAGTTTTCTTTCAGGCAGATCGCTTCACGTGGTGGTGGACGGTGTATCGTCTGATACCATTGGCATCAATTCCGGCGTTCCACAAGGATCAATTTTGGCACCAACACTATTCCTGCTTCATATCAATGATCTGTTGGGAGTAACAACTTGCCCCATCCACAGCTTTGCAGATGATAGTACCCTCCATACTGCGTTCTCTTCCAGAATTCCCATTTCTTCCCAGGAAACTAGGAACTCACGGCGCAGGCAGGTCAATGCTGTCAATGAAGATCTTGCTGAAATCACAGCCTGGGGAACAAACAACCTAGTCGAATTCAATGCCACCAAAACTCAAGCCTGCATTTTCTCTAGAAAGGCGGAACTCAGTATGCCCGATATTGTAATGTCTGGCTCCACCATCCCCACCAAGCCCACCGTATCCATGCTTGGTATTTCCATCAGCAACACTCTTTCATGGGATAATCATGTCAGATCCATCGCAAAAGCTGCTTCCCAAAAACTCGGATTCTTGTTCCGTGCGAAAAGCTACTTTACACCTCAACAGCTTCTCATGATCTACAAAGCGCAGATACGGCCTGTTCTAGAATACTGTTCGCACATATGGGGTTCAGCACCAAAACATACGCTGATGCTCTTAGATTCCATACAGAGAAGAGCCATTCGCCTGGTGGGTGACGCCACACTCACTCACTCTTTGACATCATTGGAACACCGTAGAAAGGTCGGCGACCTTTCACTTTTCTATCGATACTTCCACGGGAAATGTTTTTCGGAAATGTCTGCTATCATCCCTTCACTAGCAATACCAATCAG